ATCCCTAAAATCAAGCAATTAGTTTCCATTCGTGACAAACTCCCTAAAATTTACAATTTAATTTATTTAATAAATTATTTAATAAAATTTATGTATGATTTAATTAATTAATTAATTACATACTTTATTAATTAAATATATTGTGGTCACATATCTATACAATTTGGTCACAGATTCACAATTTAATTAGTCAAATATTATTTTTTGGTCAAAAATTATAATTTTTAAATGCCACAAATTATTTTAGGATCACAATTCAAAAATTTTATAGGTCACAATTTGTTCAATGGTCACAGATCAAAAAGTAATCCGTCACAATTTTATGTATCGATCACACAAAAATATTATAGGTAATAAATTAATATATTTTTAGGTCACATTAGTCACGATTCATCTTTTTCATCGATCACATATTGTTTATTAGTCATAGATTAACCAATTTAATGATCACAATCAATCAAATAATCTGTGACCACCACCACAACAAGCACAACATCACTGGCCACCCCTCATCATTGCACCATAAACCACCACCACATTAACAGAGAGCAATCACCAAAACAGTGATAAACAAACCACTTCCTCCTCTTCATGCAACACAACCTTCCAGCATGTACTCACCTCTCCAACAACTTGCACATCAGACACACAACTTGCACATCAGACACTCCAGGATATGTAACTTCTTCGACTGGATTTGTTCCTCTATCCAAATCACCAGAATCATTTATTACCTCATTACCCTTCCTGAGTTTCTACAAAGGATTCTGATAAGTAAAATCATTATCTATCACAAGAACAGAAGGCTCATTCCCATCATTGTTTCCAGTATCTCCAATTTCCTTCCCAACAGCGATTTATGTCTGGCCATCAGTGTCAACAGATGGGTTCTCAAAAACTGCTCGACTTCCTCCATTTGATTCCTCATCCAATTCTTCATCACTATACTACTCAAGAAACCTAGCATGATTTTGATAATCATCATTCTCTCCAACTTTATACTGGGCATTGGAGCTGGAATCGTTTTCTTACGCTGCCGGGGGAAGAGGGAGAGAAAGAGAGAGAAGAAAGGAGAAAATGAAGAGAAAATATAATTAATTGGAAAGGATAGGTGGAGAGAGAGAAATGGGTGAGAGAATAAATTGGAGAGAGAAGATGGGTGAGAGAATGAAATTCATATAATTAGTATTTAATATTTAAATATAAAAAATTTGATTTTTGAAATGTCAAACTACTCTTCTTTTTGAACTCTAGATTTTAACTCTATGGTTTTGTGTGATTACCACTAGAATAATATCCATAGCCCAAACTTAAGGCCCAACCTTCACAGCATTAGTCCTCTCAGACAAGGCTTCTTTAATCAATTGAGCCCAAATTTAAATCCCAACCCTCACTACAATTATCTCCAAACAATTTACTTTATCCACCAAACACCCACCACAATTCAAAAATCTACAGCAGCCACAGTAAGCTGTTAAATGGTGGCAGTGAAAAGGGGTCCGGTCAGCTACAATTTTTTTCCAAATCGTCAAGTTCAAAACTAGGACAATTTGTGAATAGGGCCAACAAGCTATGGAGTTGCCTTGGATATTATACTTGTGATAATTGCTCAATTAAATAAGCTCGTCCATTTCAAAGGGTTGAAACGTTACTTTTCCATAAGGACCATGATAAGAGTGCTTGTAAGGAAAATGGTATGGTTGCATGATGAATTGACCATTCCAACAACAACTTAACAAGGTGGATTTTTGGGGCGATGGGTAATGATAGACCCCATCCAGTTCAGCAATACCAACATAGTTGCTGCCAC